TTTTGAATATTTACACTTTAGTCCTCGAACTTTCGCTTTCTTTCATTTTGGTCTTTTTCCACTTATTTCTTCCGAATTACACTATATCCATCAAATTGCCACCTAAACCAAAATATGAGATTAATAAGTACATTTTGGTATAAAATAATCATACGAACACATAAAATAAGGAAGAAAAAATATTCTTTTTACATTCCTATCAAGAAGCCTATGCGGAAGCAAAATTCCACCATTCAAAAACATCTCAGAAAACCTAAAATTCGCGTCTACCTAGGTAATTTTTTCTTTTCGAATCATCCAAATCCCCGCCATCATTAGCCCAATCTCTACTTCTATTATCCCCATCACCAGTACATTCTCCCAAATCGATATCACAACCACCCAAACACAAGGGATATGAAAATCATGTAATCGTGCAGTTTCAACTCATATTAACGAGCAAATGGAAAACCCTTTTTATCATTTTAATTCCACAAACCAATTTCACTAGAAATAATTCCCACGTACTAAATCTTTCGAAAAATTTGCAATTCCCGTTTCAATTCCCACAAACCAATTTCTGCAATTCCTATTTCAATCACATGGCTAAGACCACAAAATGAAATTCAAATTAGATTTTGAAGGGAAAAATTGATATTTGTGATCGCAAATTTTGAGCAAGCAAGTTTTACTTTATGAAGGAAAAGTTTGTAGTGGTGGCGGTGGTGTTGTCATCGGTGGCCGTGGACATTTGGGTGGGTGGCGGTAGCTACAAGCGTTGGTCGGGTATGGGGTGGGGATGGAGTGCGGGAGCGAGAATGTGAGGAAGAAGCATGGATGTTCTTTTCCTGTTTATTTTAATTTTTTTTATATGAAAAATGTAAAGTTACATATTTACCCCTTTAAAAATTGGTCAACAATTGGTNTGGATGTTCTTTTCCTGTTTATTTTAATTTTTTTTATATGAAAAATGTAAAGTTACATATTTACCCCGTTAAAAATTGGTCAACAATTGGTCAGATATTTAATTATTGGTCAACTA